ACGTATGGGCCACTACAGGAGCGCCCAAATTCATCCAACTAGAAACATTTCCAATCTATTCTTTTCCACGGCCGATAGCTGGGCCAAGTACTGGTGGTTTAAGTTTTGGGGAAGTAAATCTAGTGGGGATGGTTGGGATGCTGGACCTGGTTTCCAGCACCAGCTGAAGCTGGGAAATGGCCCCAATGCATCCAGGTTGAAAAGGGATTTGAACCCTCAAACGCATTTTTTTTCTGTAATTGAAATGAGATGCAACTTGGATGGAAAGCACCCCAAATTTGACTGGTTCGGGTCCCCATAATGAAGTGTTTCAAAAGAATCAAAACTGTTCTTAATACTTCTTATTGTTTTGTTAATGCGTCCGATGGGTAAAGTGAGGATGTCCTCACATCACGATTCTCCTGAATGTATCTAACAATGACTCAAGTGCCAGGTTCAGTCCAAAGTTCCTGGTTACATGTCCTGGTAATCAGCTGGTGATCAAGAGGTTGAGAGTTCAACTCCCTCTCAACACAGGCCTCCTTTCTGGTTGCTGTATCTGACAGGCATCCTCTCTTCGCAAAAGAAGAGAGGACGATGGGAGTGCATTGCAAAACTGGCAAAGTTACGCGCGCCTTCTCCTTTCGGTTAGCGTAAGCTGTGGCACAGTAGAGGGTCCCCTTCTTGCAGTTCTCGTTCGTTTCTTTGTGAACCCCGCTTTAAACCGCGAGTACCTTTCCCAGCCAAAGTTCTAAAGGCCGCCGGTTAACATGGAGGCCGGCGCTGGCCCTGCGCACAGTCAGATTCAGGCCGAATCCCTGATGCGCAGGGCCCGCGGCCAACAGAAGGGAAAGGTACTGGCGGTTCCTTTCCCAGCCAAAGTTCTAAAGGTCGCCGGTTAACACGGAGGTCGGCGCTGGCCCTCCGCGGCATCCGGATTCAGTCCGAATCCTTGGCATGCAGGGCTTGCGGCCAACATATGGGAAAGGTACTGGTGGTTTCAGTGTTTGCCCAATGATGTAGTGAGTAAAATCAGAGAACTGATGCTAGTTGATGCTATCTCCATCACCTGTTCATGGCGACGAGCGCTTCATGTTGTCTGTTTTTGAGGAAGGACATGATTGTCGGACTAGATGGCCACATTTGGTTGAAAATGTCCAAGTGTGCGGAAACTGGCCTCATGGAGCTGCTGCTGAAGTGGCCATTTTGAGTGAGGGTTTCTTTGAACATTACCGTAGTCGCATTGCCCGTCTTTTCGGGTTGCTATATCCAGTCCTCACATGAGAGGGTCCTTAAAAAAAAAAAAAAAAACCTCTTTAGTTGTTTGCATGATGACGTAGCGTGGAAAATTGAACAGCTTAAAAAAAAAAAAAAAGGAAAATAAATCCAACAGCTATTACAAGTTGATGCTCTCTTCGCCATCTGTTTGCAGCTACAAGCGACTATGAGGAAGGACTAGTAGTTCTAGGACCGCCAATCTGACCACATTCAGTTGAAAGTGTTTGGAAACTGGCCTAATTGAGCTGCTGAAGTGGCTGTTTTTTTAGCACGGGTATTTTTTAACTTTGAGATGTATCGTGGAATAGGGCACCAGAGACTAAAGGCTGCTAGCCAAAATGGGGTTCAAAGGGTGGGTTAGGCACGTATCAGAGCCTGTCACATTCCTCACTTTGGGTGCTGGATATAGTCTGAGGCTACCTGAGGGAAAAAAAACACAAATTCAAAGCCTGTATGCGGGGGGTGCTACACTGGGGACGACCCAAGTCTTCACTGGCGTCGAACCAGGTCTGCGCCGAGGCTGAGCCCACCATGAGCCTACTGCCCCAGCTTCTAGTGCATGTAATTGGCGTATTGCAGAGAGTGCAGTGAGGTGTATCAGCAGTTGTGATGGGGAATGGGGCTGCTGGAGGGAAGGAATAGCAGCAACTGTCATAGGAACAAACGGTGGAATGAATGAACAAACCAGGGTGCATGCTGGATATATGCGCTGGAGTTCGGCGTACCCTGAACAGTGGGCCTACATCGCCCCTTTACTGGACCTGGCAAGCAATCGAAGAGTGAATAGCCAAATAGTTGGCAAAGGGTACCTGCCGAAACCCAAGGCACCAGCGACTCTGGAGGCCTGTTTCTGGAACCTCCGATTTTTGGTTGTGGGCACCTTGTATACTGGTTGCTAATGCGGCTGCGAAAAGGCTTGAAGCGCCCATCGCGATAAGGCTGACGCCACCAGGCATATGGTGTGTCATGATGGTTTGAATTGAAAGGGCTGGGCAAAAGTAGGCTTTGGCACAAAAAAGAGGCTAGGAAAAACTGGTGGTTTGACCGGCACATTCTCATGGGCGGCGGGAAGGACGGGGCTGCGGGTGGTTTAAACCGCCTCAGGCCAGAGGGGAGTACCGGTGGTTTAAATCGCCTCTGCCCTAACGTGGCTCTTCGCGGAATGCACGACTTGGGAAAACGTCCATCGCACTCTGCATCCGACTGTTGAGGTTTGTGCAGAGCCTCCTCTAAACCCGGAGGCCCAGGCCGTGGGTCCCACAGCAACACCTCTGCAAGGGCGCTGGTGGTTTAAACCACCAGTCGACGGCCCCATCCTTGTGGAAAAATGTTTGTCACCTACTTGAAATTTTGCGGCGCGGACGCATGGGACCACGATTGCCGGCAGCACCAACCAAAACGGAAAAAAACTGTGCCACCGGTGGTTTGGAGAAGCTCAGCGCGCAGCGCAGTCCCTCCAGGCCCAGGTGTACTGGTGTGGTTTAACCACCACCATCTCCGCGCTTCCATTTTCCTGCCGTGGATTTCCCCTGTGTGCCAAAAAGACAACGAACCAGCACACCAGCATCTCTGCGCTGTGCTTCGTTTTCCTGCCCTGGATTTCCCCTTTGCGCCAAAGACAACAAACCGGCACACCAGCATCTCCGCGCTTCGTTTGCCTGCCTTGGATTTCCCGTGTGTGGCGAAAGATAACTTGGAATTCTCCTGAGGTCGTTTGTATGGAAAAGGCATTGTGGAAATGTCTGGATGATGTCTGTCTGTTGATGAACTGACCCAGTCAGAGTCACTGTGGAAGCACTTCTCAGTGTCTGTGGCCGTCTTTGTCAGCAGTGTAGTTTTATCTAGGGTGTGGAGATCTTTTCTCCATATTTGTATCCAGGTCTGGATTAGTTTCTACTATAATGGTGATCTTGCTCCTGAATACAACCAACCTAGATTTTCGTGAGACTGCAGAGACAGTTTGTTCAGGTCTGTAAGTGGAACCAAACTGTTGTGTAATGCTCGCAATCTGCTCGGGATTGTGCCACATCAACTTCAAAGCTCAACTTCAGATAAGCGTGCACTCCGTCTGCATGAGATGTACATGACTGTAATCATGGATACATTCAAGAAAGTTCTAATGGAAGTATGATCCCAAGTCCCACAATCAGGGGACAAGCTTGAGGGGATGTTAAAAAGAGCTTTAGGGTCTTAGCTATTTTGAATCTGCATGTACTGTCATGTTCAGCGCTGGTAATCGTGGTGCCAGCATGCACACACTGGCATCCTTGAATTCACAAAGGGAAATGCCAAGTTTGTGGAACACTTGTTTTCTCTGTAATTTATTTCTCTGTAATTTAGAGTGTGTGGGGTCAATTCGGTTGAGAAATTGAGAAAATCAATCAATTTCTGTGTGCAACACTTTTGTTTTCTCTGTATCCCCAGTGTGAGGAATAGTGTGGAGAACTTTAGAAAATCAAAACCAACCAACAGAGAGACAGACAGACAGAAAGAGGCAAACAAACGGACACATGGACGGACAGATGAAGAGACAGGCAGGCCGACAGGAAAAGGAAGACAATGACTTTGCTTCTGCAAATACAATGTCGGTTCGTGATCTCTACCTGGATATGATCATATGCATGTACGTTGTGATAGGGCAGAATGGTCGGTTGCTGTTTCGCTGAGTCTTTCATTCGCTCAAAGACGAACAGGATGCAACTGCCCTGTTGTAGCCTAGCATTGTGTCGCTGAGGCAGGATTAAGGTTCTGTGGCTCTTTGCCACTGAGCAAGTTTTGTGGCCCACTGAGCAAGCTTTGCGGCTTTCTGTCAGGAACCACGCTTTGCAAAGGTCCAAACAATGTGCGTATTCGACACTGAATTCATCTGCCTGATGAGTTCCAAGATGGTGGTGGTTTCAGAGTTGCAGTAGAGCTAGTAGCGGCATCGGAGGCTATGTATGCCCCGGTACATCGTACGGGGTTCTTATTGTACGGCCGTACGAACGGGCATACAAACGGTCGTACACCCGTTTGTACTAAGGCCGTACTACACTGTATACGGTGCAAAAAGATAGGCAAAAAAAAAAAAAAGGGGGTTGTAGAGCACAGAAAGCTCTATGACCCCTTTTCTTTTTGGTTCCTTCCTAGATTAAAAACAAATAGGAACATAAAAACGAGTGGAAAAAAAAAGATTCGATTGATTGATTGATGGTCGATTGGTTGTTGATTGATTGATTGATTGATTGATTGGAAAAAAAAAAGAAGAAAAAAACGCGCGCAATAGTGCCCGGCCGTGTGAGGGACCGCGCACGGTCCCTTTGTCGCTTTCTCTCCCCGCGCGCGCATGCATGAGAGAGAGAGAGAGAGAGAGAGAGAGAGAGAGAGAGTATGTGTGTGTGTGCGTGTGGGTGTGCACATGTGTATGTGTGTGTCTGGGTGTTTTTTTTTTCTTTGTGTTTTTTTTACAATCAATCAACCAACCAATCAATCGATCGATCAATCAATCAATCAATCAATCAATCAATCAATCAATCAATCAATCAATCAATCAATCAATAATCAATCAGTCAATCAAATTTGTTTTTCTTTTTATAAATTGCACCAAACAAAAAAAAAATCCTTTTTTTTTTTTTTTTTCATTTGCAGGGGTTACCCCTGCACTCCAGGAAACCCCCCCGGGCAGCCGGATTTTAAACGCCCCCCACCGAAGGTCCCGGAACTGACTCGTACCGCCATAAGTACGACCCGTATGACTGTCAGGTGCCCGTTCGCACGGAACTACCGTACGTATGAACGTACCGTATCCGTACGACAGGCACACACAGATCGGAGGTATGGTGATATAATAATCAGGTCCATGTGTTCCTTCAGTGTTTGCGCAACTCTTGGTGGTTTGAAATATCTTGAGAAAAGCCACATTTTTCCAAGACTAGAAGCCACACTTTTCCGAGAGTAGTCTTTCTTTCACCCTGATTACGGTTTCTTTCAAACTTGGAAGAAAAGGACGTTAGCACTTCATTACAGTGCGAGCATGATCCAGATTCTTTTGCAGTTTGTGAACAAATGCCAATTCTTATCGGATTCTTCTGTGTATGGTACTATTGTCGTTTTTGTAATTGGTCCTCACATTCCACAGTAGTTTTTCAGAAGAACTAAGGACTGTCGTGCTGGATGCGTTGTGATATGGCAGATTCCTGATGAATTGACAGAGCACTACCTGCAGAGGAGTGGGTACCAATGCCCAGATTCTCGACTGTGAGTGCAATCTAGAAAGTTCCACTGTCCACACTGTTTATTAACTGCCTCGTTTCTCTCTCCCAACCTCTCTCTCGTGCTGTCTCCCTTCCCTCCTAATCTCTCCCGCTCTCTCTTCCCTCTCTTACCAGCTCCAAGCCCAGGCTCTTCTGTGGTCTCTCCCTCCTCTGCCTGATCTCTCATCCCGATCCCCCCGTCTTTCCCTTCCTCCAACCTCTCTAGACTCATCCCCTGTCCCTCCCTCTCCTCACTTGCCTCTCTCTCTCTCTCTCTCTCTCTCTCTCTCTCTCTCTCTCTCTCTCTCTCT